GGCTCCCTATTTATACTGATTCACCCTAAATATAACATGGTTTATAATCTATGTCAGTATCTACTCTTATGAGCAATTTGCCTGATGGGTAATGATGGAAGTATTGGTCTGTGGGAAATGCTGCCTGTTTCTAGCCAAATTCTGTAACAAAAGGTCATTTATTTACCTGGACTGTATAATAGTGGGGAAAGTATATCCAGCATCTCATTCTACATAATAATGGACATTAATAGGTAAAGTTCTGTGTCCCTCTGGTTGAAGGGAATCTTTGGAAATAAGCATTCTACTATTTTATAGTATAGAAACTGGAAACTTTTCCTCTAAAATCCTAATGCTTGAGCACAGTGGGATATTAAGCCTGCAGCTTACTCTCACAATAGCAAGATCTGTATTTCTAATTCCCCATATATCACACTGGAAATGTATTTGTGTTAAACCAGTTTAAAGAGCTTAATATAAAATAAGACTTACTCTCCATGGAAGTAGGAGAAGAAAAGGAGAGCAGTGAACTTCAAAGGGCCATTCTAAAAATGAAATTAATTATGGGAAAACAAAATCACAGCTACACTGGACCCTCCTCATCCCCTAGCCCCTGCCCAAATATTGTATCAGTCAACAGTCCTGAACTTTATGGTGTTTAATGACCTAGGCTTTGGACATGTAAAGACCACCTAAAACTCCCAGACTAGGGCCACAATTAGTGATTCCCACTCCTTGGGCATATCTACACATGCTGCTTTGGTGCTGTTGTTACTGTGCCATCATTTAGTACTTCCTTTAGTACTTCCATGGCTATTTTTAGCCACTACATCGCTGTACTGAAGTGAGGGAGTGCATCCATACTGTGACACAGCTGTGGCATCACGGTTTGTGCCTGCCAATGCTACGTTGATGTAGTTCATTGCTATGACAATGTAGCATCTTGTGTAGATGCACCCCTTGAACCATATAGAAATATTTATTATCAAGACAGTTTGTTTGTGCACAGGGGACCCTCCAAAACTGAAATTAACTCATCTAGGAACTAAGAACTGCACTAAATTGACTGTTCTGTTCCAAATGTAAAGCATACTTCTTTGACGTGCCATTGACTAATCATAATAAGCAGTGCAGAAGCCATATACAAGTATTTTAAGATCATTTTAGAACAAAATTAAAAAGGAACCCACCTGTACTTTTACTTTTCTTGATAGGAACAAATAAGAAAGAAAGAACACCACAGGATGACTGCTGCTGCCTTGGTGCTCAGTGACCTCCAAGGAACTTCATAAACTCTAATGCATTTCCTTGGGATCAAGGCATGCTATTTTACAAATGGGAAATTGAGATAAGGAAACGTGATGTGTTTCTGGTTGCACAGAAACCCACAGAACATATTTAACCCAGTACTACCATGTCTTACAATGGTGCCCTAACAATGGAGTCATCCTACCTCTTCGCTCTCTTTCTTTCTGATTGCTACAGGATGTACCTCAAATGGAATCCTGGGTGGATTGAATCCTGCATTCGTGATGCAGAGTAAAAAAACAAACAAACCAGAAAAACCAGTTCCCAATTGGCCTGTCTCGGAATCCTGGGTGGACTGAGGGACCAGCAGGCGGGATGTTGCTTGAGGGCAACCAGCATGGGTTCATTAGGAGCAGGCCCTGTCAGACCAACCTGATTGCCTTCTATGATCAGGTCACAAAATTCTTAGATGCAGGTGTCACGGTGGATGTAGTCTTTCTGGACTTCAGGAAGGCCTTTGACATTGTCTCCCACCCTATTCTCATTAAAAAGATGGGTGACTGTGGCAATGATGCCTACACAGACAGATGGGTCACAAATTGGCTAGAGGGCCGCACCCAGAGAGTGGTGACAGATGGGTTATATTTGACCTGGAGGGACGCGGGCAGTGGAGTCCCCCAGGGCTCAGTCCTCAGGCCTGTATTGTTCAATTTCTTTATTAGCAGCTTGGACAAGGGGGTGAAAAGCTTCCTGTTCAGATTCGCTGACGACACCAAGGTTTGGGGCAAAGTGGGCACGGTAGAAGGGAGGGACAGGATACAACTGGACCTGGACAGGTTACAGGGGTGGGCGAATGTGAATAGGATGGGATTCAATACTGACAAGTGCAGGGTACTGCACTTGGGCAGGAAGAACCAGCGGCATACCTATAGGCTGGGGAACTCCCTTCTCATCAGCACAGAAAGAGATCTGCTGGAGGAATCTGCTGGAGGGATCTCTGGAGAAATGTGCTATGGCTTTTCTCAGAGGGGTAAGTTGTACAGACATTTGCCCTCCCAGGAGAATCTCACCCAAGAGAGGGTTAATTGTGATTGTTCCAAAGTTATTTTTCTCCTGGAGCAGCCATTTTTGCTGTGGAAGAAAAATCCTGAACATCTGCACACTTATGGTTTCTCCTGGGAGAACAGTGACCCTCCTAAGAGAAACTGGACGTCTGTACGCAGCCCCTAACACAGATATCAATGAGTTCAATTCTGCATTATTTTTCTACAATTTCTTATTTCTTCCTCTCTTTTTCATTTGTTTTCTTGCCCCCTCAGGTCAAATGTCTGCAAACAGACATATGGTTATCACTTACATTAATCCAATTTACTGTGGTAATTGAAGCATTCCCCATTCCAAATACTGAAAATGTCATGATAAAATTAATACTAGCATACAGTACACGCTAAAATGTTAATGACAGCAACTGTCAGCAGCTGCAAGATTGTATTGCAGATTAAATTATTCCAGTTTTGTGTGTATCACACAATATTTATATTTTATGGAACACGTGATGTAATCACAAACGTCACTGAAGTATATCTTTGCAAAGTAGTAAAAAGAGCTATTCTTTGCAGGGAAGCTTAGCTGCTGAGAGGAGGGGTGGAACTCCACTAGGGATAAATAAAGCCCTTTTGTTTGTTTACCCTTTAACCATGAAAACTGGTAAATTCAGGTGTGTACTTAGCTGGTTTCTACATGTGCCCAATGATATTACTTGATAACACAGTCACAGCAACATAGGACTGGAAGGGACCTTCAGAGATCATCTAGTCCAACCCCCTGCCAAGAGAGGATAATCCCTATCCAAACTATCCTACACAAATCCATTGTTTAACCTATTAGTAAAACTACACAGTCAATCCTAACACAAACACAAGGCATAAAACCCTAATATGCCACAGATAAGTCAGGGGGATTATGGTGGCCAATACACTTGAGAGATCCAAGGAAGGCAACCCCCCACAGTCATTACCAATCTGACCATAGGGTAAAATTCTTTCCTGGCTCCAAATACGGTGATCAATCTGACTCTGAGCAGCGGGGAAAGACCCTCTAGCCAGGAACATCTGGGTTTAAGTCCCAGAAATAGCACTGCCCCACTCCACTCAAGAACCCCAGCCAGTGCTGACCCAAGCAGGGTGCAGGACCTGGGGAAAATCAGCCCATGCAGGGCCCTGCCCCTGCTCCAATCCCATGGGCCCTGGACCCAAAGAAGCTGCTGCCGCCATTGGCGGCAGGAGCAGGGGGAAGAGGAGGGGCAAGTAGCAAGCAGCTGGATGCAAAGCTGCTGCTCTGGCCCACTCTGTGCTGCTGCTGCTCTGCGGGACCCTGCCAAAGCACAGGGCCCAGGGCAGTTGCCCCAATTTGTCCCCCCCAGGGATGGCCCTGACCCCAGCCTTGGTTACAGCCAACACCCAGTGCTTCTGGGGAAAGTAAAACACCCCCCAAGCCCTCCTGCCATGTGTAGCAAAAGGAGGGGAAAAAATTCCTTCCTAGCCCCATTTGGCAACTAGTGAAGCCTAGAACCATAGGGAATACACACAGGCGATCCTAGATCATCCCCAATTAATGCTTGCCTAACCTCTTCTTGAATACCTCCAGTGATGGCAATTCCAGTTTCCCTAGGCAGTCTATTCCACTGCTTCACTATTTTAACAGCGGAGGAGTTCTTCCTGATATCTAACTTTAATCTACCTTGCTGCAACTTTAGGCCATTGGTCCATATTCTGCTCTCTGCAGCCAGACAGGAAAACTGTTTTCCCTCTTCTTTATGGAGACTTTCAGATATCTGAGGACTGCTATCATGTCTCCTCTTAAGTGCCTCTTCCACAAACTGAACATACCTATTTCCTTCAACCTCTCCTCATATGCCTTGCCTTCCAAGCTCTTTATAATTTTTGTTGCCTGCCTCCAGCCCCTCTCTAACTTCTCCATGTCCTTTTAAAATGTGGAACCCAAAACTCCAGACAAATCTAGATAAGGCCTAACCAGTGCTGAGTAAGGAGGCACTATCACATCCTGTGTCTTGCATGGCAAATTCATATTGAACTTGATCCACCAACACTCCTAGATCTTTCTCTGTAGTACTATCACCTAGCCAGGTGCTACCCATTTTGTATTTGTGTTTTTGATTATTCTTCCCAAGATGTAGTATCTTCCATTTGTAAGCACTGAACTGCTTCCTGTTACTTCCAGCCCAGCTTTTCATCTGTCAGGTTACATTAGAACTGTACTCCTGTCCTCCAAGTATTTGCAATCCTTTCCAGGCTAGTGTCATCTGCAAATTTGTTCAGGAAGGAAGTGAAAGATTTACTGGCTCACCCTAAAATAGGGTCAGGAAAGATGTTTGCTTTTTCCAAAAACGTAGAAGGCTTTAATATTCTGCAATATTAAATTTACTATGAAATTTAAATGAATAACAATAACTATAGCAGCAAAGCATTTTATCAGCAACATATTTTACATAGAACAAGACACCCAAAATATCACTGCAAGTGATCACTAAAAGATAAAAAGAAAATCTCTTCTATTTATTTTTTCATCCATTTTTCATGTCCAACATTTTGCTGAACTATAAAAACTATCATGGTACAATACAGTTCTTTCTAAGCCATTTTCTTAGTGAATGTTCCAAGCTAAGGAAAAAGGGAGAGGGAGTGTTTCACTGAACAATGTCATCAGCTGTGCAGAGGGTGGCACAGTAAGCCTGCAAAAAACATCTACCTTACCTGTTGTTATACAGTTGATGCTGGGATTCAAAACACTGGGGAGAAGTTGTCAAGGCACTTGGTGAATTACTCAAGTGTGGTGTTCCCAGTTGTTCCTAGAAAAAACAAACATGTAAGATAGGATGTTTGAAAGTGAGCAAAACTCTACTCCTATTGGAATCGGGCAAGTCTATATGTGTGTTAATGAACCATAGTTACTGCACATTAAGTTTAGTAACTGTAATAACAGGTACTAACTCGATGCATATTAACCAGTGCACATCTTTTTAGTGATGCTAATGTGCAGTAGACTAGTTCTACTGTGCATTAGCGCAATAACATGGCTTTTGCCATGACATGCTAATGTGCAGTAGAATTAGTCTACTGCACGTTTAAGGTCTCGTGCAGACGAGCCCAATGGGAGTTTTAATAGTACCTTCAACTGTGACTAAGTTAAGCCACTCAGTACTTTTAAAATCTTACCCAAAAATTCGTACCCACAAAAATAACTTTCAATTCAGCTGCATTCTTCAACTGATCTTATCACTTGGACAAAAACTTATGAGATCATTAAAAGAAAGTGTTTAGGGTTGGTATAAGAATTTCAGATCTCAGGCTTTCAAAGTATGAGCAGGTGTTGGCTGACCCGAGTTACTTAAGGAGCTTAGATCTATAGATAGGTGGAGGTCCAAGGTATCAAAGTCAATTATTTAGATCAGATTTCGAAATCTTCCCATGATGAATCATGACAGGCTGAGTCCTGAGCCTCTCCTGGGGACAGAAAATATCCTATAGTGGGTATAGGGATTATACACAGCTCTCTGAAAAGTTGTATCTGCAGGCAAGTACGGCTATTAAACCTTCCCTGTTGCCACCCACACAGTTAAAAGTGTTTTGACTTGACATATTTTATAACCACAACTTACAATTAAGTTAGTTAAGTTGTGTTTTGTCATCATGTCACTTTAACAAGGCTGTGGAAAGTTATTCAGTACCTAACTATATTGTTTTCTGAAGTCTTGTTAATATTATTTCTTAGAACAAAAAGGAATATTGGCTGAACAAGTAAAAAATGTATTTTAGGTTACATTTTTGTTCAAGGCATAAATACTGTCTTTTAAATAACTATATACTGTTTGGATTCAGTAGAAACATAATTGCTGTGATGTGCTATGAAATTAGTTATGCCAAACAGATATGGTCTCAAATGTTTAGGGATGAGCATCTACTAGCAGACATAACAGGGCTCCCTTCCAAAATGTTACAGACACAACTATTTCCATCTTAATGAAAATCTTGAAAGGGAAACCTTTCAGAAAAATGACAAAGAGAAAGAAAGCCTGTGAAAGAAATGGAGAAGACTATTTAAAAAACATTTTTTTTTGCTCTTGTGATATCTTTGGTGAATGCAAAACCCTGTATCTTAGCTATTCTACTAAGGCACACACTTCTCACATTATTATTTTAAATTATTCAGTTTTTAAATGCAGGATTTCTGCTTCTATAGGTTTCCTAAACTTGGTGATAATGCTAATCATGGAACTGGGCTCCAGAACCAGAATCTCTCCATTCTGAGCTGCAAGTAGATGAATCACTGGGGAGCCTACATATTCTGCAGTGCTACTAAAGTCACTGCAACCTAGGGATGTAAATACTGATTAAATATTAATTTAACTTGTTGTAATTACAGGTTAAACATGGTGGTGGTGCTGGGCTCCAGTCTGTGGCTCTGCGAAGTCAGGGGGGGATGGTGTTTAGCCCTGGGCCGGCGCTTGCCCTGCCCTGCCCTGCTGTGCCGTAGAGGATGGGTTGCACCCACCCACTTAGAGCAGTTTGGGGGGCTGGGGCCAAAGCAGTCCCACCAGGCAGGCAGCACAGCCCAGAGAGCCCGGGGGGGCGGGGGAGCAGGACAGCAGCCAGCGAAGGGCTGCAGTCACCAGCAGCCAGCGAAGGGCTGCAGTCACCAGCTTGCAGCTTCTCAGGAACAGCTGCAGCAATGCAGGGGGAGGTTACTTGTTTAACTGTTCACATCCCTACTGCAGTCGTGGGAAGTTTTAGACTAGTTGCCTCTGCTGGACTTTGCTGGTGTGCTACCGCTGGACTTGGCTGGTATGGTGGCTGACATGTTCCAGTACATGAAAACAAGAGGTGTAACAAGTCAGCTGAGTGCCTAGGGTAGCTACAATGCATGGAGGAAGTGGAGACATCCAGCTGATGCTGTGCTGCCAGTGCAACTGTGTGGCTCCAAGCAAATGCTATGCAGTGCTCCACCTCCCTCTCTGCCCCCACTTGCCCTCAGTTACACTACTGATGAAAACACATGTGGGCACATCTACAGGAGATGCTTAACTTCACATTAGCATAGTTTACTGGGAAGTTAGCATGTGCATCTACATATGTATATGCTTAGTTCATAGTAAATTTTCCTAATACTGAGTACGTTTGCTACCTGCAGTCAGCTGTCTATGGACAGCTTTCCAATCTCTCAGAGTGACTTAGACAAATTGGAGGCTTGGGCCAAAAGGAGTCTCATGAAGTTCAACAAGGACAAGTGCAAAGTTCTGCACTTAGGATGGAACAATCCCATGCACCAGTACAGGCTGGGGACTGACTGGGTAGGCAGCAGCTTTGCAGAAAAGGACCTGAGGGTTACAGTGGACAATTAACTGAGTATGAGCCAGCAGTGTGCCCTTGTTACCAAAAAGACTAAAGGCACACTGGGCTGCATGGATAGGTGTGTTGCCAGTAGGTCAAGGGAAGTGATTATTCCCCTCTATTCAGGACTGGTGGGGCCACATCTGGAGAATTGTGTTCAGTTTTGGGCACCCCACTTCAGAAAGGATGTGGACAAATTGGAGAAAGTCCAGCAGAGGGTGAGGGGGCTGGGGGACATAACTTCTGAGGAAAGACTGAGGGAGCTGGGCTTATTTAGTCTAGACAAGAGGCAATTGAGAGGGGACTTAAGAGCAGCCTTCAACTACCTGAAGGGGGATTCAAAAGAGGGTGGAGCTAGACTGTTCTCAGTGATGGAAGATGACAAAACAAGGAGCAATGGTCTCAAGTTGCAGCGAGGGAAGTTTAGGTTGCATATTAGGAAGACTTTTCTCACTAGGAGGGTCGTAAAACACTGCAACAAGTTACCCAGAGAGGAGTGCAATTTTCACCCTTGGAGATTTTCAAAACCTGGCTAGACAAAGCTTTGGCTGGGATGATCTAGTTGCAGATGGTCCTGTTTTCAGCAAGGGGTTGGACAAGATGACCTGAGGTCCATTCCAAACCTAACTTCCTATGATTCTATGAAATGCAAGTAGCAAAAATACTCATCATTAGTAATGGTGCCATAGCCCTTGTGTGGACACTTGACCAGGAGCCAGCTGCCAGGACAGGCTTTACCACAGGAACCTGGGCAGGGACTGTGTCCCCCTGCCCTGGCAGCAGGGAGCTCCAAGCCCCTTGCTCCCAGATCATGATCGAGGAGTGGGGGGCTGGGAGACTCTTATCTCCCAGTCTGAGCTCTCCAGTTGTGGGGCGCAGGCTGGGAGACGCTTATCTGGCTCAGGCTGGGAGAACAGCATTTCCCAGCAGCAGCCCTGCAATCGCAGATCCACTGCTGGGAGATAACAGTCTTCCAGCCTGAGCCCTATGACCATGGAGCTGGCACTGGGAGCTCCTTGCTGGGTGTGTGTGGGCAGGGGACCTGTTTCCCACCCAGCTCCACAAGCATGGAGCTGGTGGTGGACTAGGCTGGGGAACAAGCTCCCTAGCCCCCGCACCCTGCATGCCCTGATAGGGACAATGTCTGCCTGACCTGGTGGCAGGGAGCTTCCGGGCCCTGCTCCCTTAATCACAATCACAGAGCAGGGGCTGGGAGCTTGTTCCTAGCCCTTGCTCTGCAACTGTGGAACTGGGAACAGGCTGGGAGCTTGTTCCCAGCCTCCACTCCGTGACTGCAACTGTGATTGCGGAGCAGGAGCTGGGAGCTCCCTGCATGGAGACAGGGCTCTGCCTAGCCTGGAGCTGGCTCGGACCTGCCCCTGACTGGGACAGTTTCCAGCCAGTCCCAGGCTGCATGGGGAAGCAGTACAGCCTGGAGGTGGCTGGGAACTGTCCTGTTTTGGGCAGTCCATAGACAGCTCTGGGCTGCACATGAGGACTTCCCCATGCAGCCATGGGCTGGTCGGGAACTGTCCACCAGTGGGGCAGCTAGGGGCAGGGGGCTGGGACCTGCCCCTCCCCAGCAGCTCTTTCTAAGCCCCGTGCCCCTGATCGGGGAGCCAGGGCCAGAAGCTCCCTGCTGCCGATTTTCCCTGCCCCAGCAGCAGTCTCCTGGCCTGGTGCTCCCTGCCAGCCCCTGAGTTCCCCCTAGTGGTGGCAGAGGCCCATTGCAGGCCTGCAGGGACCTGGAAGCAAATCTTCTCCCTAATCCCCACATGTGTAAACACCTACCCAAAAACCCTTACTCTGTAGTCAGAGCCACCCCTAGGGGTGTGTGAGGCCCGGGGTATATTAGCCTGTGTGGGGCCAGGGGGTGGCAAGCGGCTGGAGTGTGGAAGCCATTACAAAGACCTCTAAAAAAAATCATCTGGAATTCCTAGGACGTGTTTCTCAGGCAGGATGTAAAAAAAAAAAGAAAAAGAAGAAACTGGAGACAAGATTAACATAAATTGCTTCTGAACTAAACAGAATGAGTTTATACCAGAATGAGCGGGAAGAGAGTCATGGCCAAAATCTTAGCCTTCAGTGTCTTTCCTACTGAATCAATCACAATTTTAGACAAGTGTACTTTAAATTTTATATCTGCATTGTACTGAAGGAGATGCAAAACAATCTGATACCTGCAGACTCCTTGCTTCCTCAGACCACCAGATTTCAAAGTCTTTTTGCAGTTTCACCTTGGCTTTTTCCATAAGAAGCTGCAAGTGTTCAATCTCTATCTTCAGCCCTTTCAAACGATTGAACATGGTTTTATAACTACAATGAAAAGAAGAAGAGAGTGTGTTTACTACAGGGAAATTCCATCTTTGGCCCAGAGAAAAAATGCTGACAGATCTCTTAATGAAGTTTTATGTTATCCAGGGCAGTTACAAACCCTGAACTTCAAAACAACTGCTAAAAGTCAAGGAGAGGCGTGAATCATCACTGATTTTATAAGAGTGTCTATGGACAGAAAATATAAGAAATCTACTCCAGTAAAGTATTTATTTTATTGAAGAACAAAGTTACTCCCATTCTAGTGGGGATGATATTGAGTCTGTTTATTTAGGCTATTCATCAATCACATTTGTCAATGATTTTTTTTTTGGCTGCACAGCATCATGCCATTCATAAATAAATGGTGGCCAGAATGCCTGGATTCAATTAGAGACTATGCAGAGGCTCACATTTTCTACTGACAACTCAGTAACTAGACATGTTGTCTACCATTGGTTGGACAACTAACAGTATATGCAATAATACAAGCTAGCCCTGACGTCCCATCAGAGATTCTAGATACCAGGAATACTAAGAAGCAAACTGAAAAATGTAGACAATGTGATATCCTGTGTCTGATATTTCTTTCATCTCCCTGGCCACAGTTGTGCTATGGCAGAAGGAAGGATTTTTGAAACCATGAAGATTCCTCTGTTTTTCTTTCTAGTTGGTTCACAAATAAAGCCCCTGAACCGTAATACCTGTGAGTAGGTCAATGAGGCCTGGACATTGCCCCTGAAACAGCTGAGGGGACACATACCATGTAACACCTGGATAACCACTTCGTCTTGGTGACACTCCCAGCCTCTGACAATTGAAAGAGAAGAACCAATTTCTAACTCTGATCCTCAATATGCAAGCACTATGCTATTTTTAGATTACCAGGTTAGGTTTACAGTTTCCCTACTGATGCATCATGTGATCTTAAAGGAAACAAGCTGACATTTTAAGTTGAAAGCTAATAGTGAACCAGAAAAAAAGCTTTTATATAACAATGTGCTAGCAGAAACAAGATTAACACAGTTGGGGATCATTTTACTTCAGTATTCGGAGTATCAGAGGAGGAAAATATAATACCTTTTTTTCTCATCTTCAAGTTGTGCTCGAAGTTTCTCTTCCACTGGATCAGACTTATTCAGCTCTTCAGAAGGGCTGGCAACACCTACAAGAAGTTACCAGAAGCAAGCAATAAATAGATAGGGCAAGGATGAAAAAACAAGAAAAACAACCCCAACCCTCTGCATCCCCTTCCTCCCCTCCCCTCAAAAAAACTCCAAACTGTTTCAGAATAGCATAAGAACTCCTACTTGATAGGTGCAATAGGGAACAGCACTAGTCTTTTATCCTGGTGGAAGTCTGGGTTTTGAATCTTAACATGGGCCTTATCCTGACCTTAGTTTCACCAGAGTAACACTAGAGATTTCAGTTCAGTTATTTTGTATTTATATCAGTGTCAGATCAGAATCAGGCCCTTAATGTAAATTAAAAATAAAATGAGTATTGATTTTCTCTTCTCAGTCCTCTGTGAATGTCTTCTTTAAGAAGCAATGAAGAACAAGGGAATGTGAGGGGATGTACAGTCCACAGAATTCCATGTAAAACCCTGAGAAAGCAATTTACCATCTTATTCTAATTCTTAACTTTGTTCATCCTTCTTCTGTTGCTGGACAGTTTTCTTGGTAACACCTATTCCCTGAAAGTTGAAAGGTACAGATGCTTTGAATCATTTTGAAGGCACAAGTTTCCTGAATCGATTCTACATCATAGGTGTCTGTGACCAGGACAAGCCTTAGAACTGAGCTAGCATATAGTATAATATCTATCTATCCATCTATCTAGCTATCTATAGATAGATAGATAGATATTATACCATATGCTATATATAGATAGATAGATAGATATGTATATGTATGTATATGTATATGTATATCAATGATATACTGATAATATTGAGAGACAGCAAACCATCCTTCCCAACACAGGTTAAAAGCAACTCAGTGATGAAGGGAAAAAGTAAAGTTACACACTGAAAAAACTACAACTATTCCAAAACCAGCTTCTATTTCTAAAATAGGGAGAATAGTTTAAGATTCCTAAGAAAACAGGTTTGACTTTGTAAACTACAGGAAAATGAAGGGAACAAAAGATATGCTGTACAATACACTTTTCCACCTTAATTATTATTTTTGCCAAGAAAATAAATTAGATGTCAACCTGTCATTAGGCCCAAGGAGTGTACCCTGGCTTCAAGGAATGGAATTCTGGCTGGAGCACGAGGGCAGTAATGACCCCTTTTTGCCTGTCAGCACTCCAGCTAAAACCATTAATCTTTCTTGTAGCACCCTGTAGCTTAATCAAAAATGAGATTGAAAAGTATTTAATTTCACTGCAAGTACTTAAGGTCAAGTGTGTTAATACAGATTTAAAAGCCAAGGTGAACAAAAACCACACATGCAACTCTCACTGCATGTATCTGAAGGCTGTGCTGGATAAGCAGATTACACGGACCGAGTGGAGAAGTCTATACTAGAGAGGGTATACTTAACACATTCAAACACAAAATGCTTTATGGTATTAGAGCAAATGACTGTAGGTCATGAGATGTACAAGTCTTATGGCAGAAGAGATGTTAAAAATTAGTGGGGCTAGATACCATATTTTCTTCTATACAACATGTACCTTTCCCCCAAAATTCAGCAGATGGAAATTGGGATGTGTATTATAAGTAGGGTGACCATATGTCCCAGATTGGCTGGGTCAGTTCCAGATTTTAGAGGCTGGTTTCAGCCAGCTGGTGAAAATTAAAATGAATGTCCTGGGCACAGGGCATAGAAGCAGAGCAGCAACAGCTGTGAAATAGGAAGCCTTAGCAGACAGCAAAATTGTCCATTAACACTAATTGTTACTTCACAGGTGATTGTTAACCCCTGTGAAGGAAAAAACAGTGGGTCATTAATGGGTCAGTGACTTCCTGCCAGAGTCCCAGATTTCATCCTGTCCCATATGGTCACCCTAATTATAAACAAGGAAATATGGTAATAGTATTATCTGCCTCTGCAGGGAGGTGTGTGTGGAGCTGGGGGGGGGGAAGCAAGAATAATGCTGCAGTGCTGCATTTTAGCTGCTGGCTGTAGATAACCTCTTTCTCTCTGGCAGAGTCTCCTGCTGCAGAAGCTGCTATTCAGTTACTGCCACGTACTGGCATTGTCAAGGAAAGATCTTTTTTTCTTTATTCTACCATTTAAAAGAAAGGCATGTATCATATTTGGGGACATGTATGTGAGAAATTACATTGCAATTAAATACAATGGATAATGGCAAAGCATTAATGGATGAAATCCTGAAACCACTTAAGTAAGAAGGCAAAGCTTTCAATGATTAGAGCTGGGTCAGGACCTCACCTGCAGTCTTTTTCCCCTTTACCTACCCATAGCTCCTACTGATGGCATTGGGAGTTACACAAACATATGTTTGGGATTGCTTTATAAAGTAACAGATATATGGTGGAGAAAGTGCAAAACTACTAAATAGTCCAGAGAGCTAGAGGAGAGATAAGGACTTTGAGGCTCTAAAGGTGCAGGATGGGTGTCCCCTCTGCTCTGCCTTGTAGGAATATGTAGCTTTCTTTTAGCTCCATCATCAGCCACTTCTGCTGGTAATTGTGGCATGGGCCACACTCCCCACACTTCCTTTTTTTTTTTTTTTTTAAAGGAAATGTTTTTGTGTTCCAAGCCAAATCAATTCCAAATCCATGAGTCATCCAAGAACCATATGTGGCCCTACTACCAGCAAATATTCTCTACCCTCACCTGGGGCTTCAGATGCTTCCAAATCATTTGGTGGTCATCCTAAGTGCAGGCCCAAGCCCGGAGGCTTGGGTTTGGATGCCCCTGAATTTTGCTTGCTCTCAGTTTTATGGCTGCAGGAGTTCCTGTTCAGATGAACAGTACTTAAGGAAAGCAGCCAAAGAGCAGCCCCAGGATCTCAGCAGCCCCTCCAGCTTAACTGTCTTCTATGCATGTGGGTGAGAGCCAGGCAAAACCAGACCCTACACATAAAGAGATGTGAATTCCCACAAGTTGCACATCTCAAGTGTTGTACATTGCAACTAACTGTAGATTATATTCAGAAGTCGCAATGAAATCTTGGGGTTTAAACAAAGGCCTGTCTGATATGATGCAATCCATATCTGGAACTAGCAAAGCAGTTGTGCATGCCATTGGCAAGGATCCACGAATGAATAAAACAGAAGCATGATCAGTTGCAAAATGGTCTCGCCGATACAGTCACACCCATCAGAAAGAACTGAATAAAGCAGGGGGCTGGATCTGATGATCTCATGAAGTCTTTTCCAGCCCCTAACATCTATGAATCTATGAACTGTAAGTTAATTTCTCTCTCTCAACAGAATAACTGAACTTTGGGTCAGTCACAGAAATGACTGGGACTCAAACACATTGTAGAGCAGAGGCCCAGAGCCTGCTTATCAGGCTGCTGATTTGCATACTTACGTAAACTATATTTTGGCTTCTTATCTCACTCATTCATTACACTGATGCAGTCTGTAGGTTGAATGGCATGCTGCTTTATAGACTATAGATCTTTTTACATCTACTTAACTAGACATATACCTACAGATACAGGACTTCCTCACATTTTTCCAGGCAAAAGGAATTTGTAGCCTAAAGTAGGGGCCTGACTCCTCTGCAGGACAGACACACGCAAAGAAGTTTTTGTGGCAGATAAGCATGAGATGGGCAGCCACTTGATATGCATCCAGCACAGCTATTTTGATCTTGTATAGCGTTATTCCTCTTCTCATGTGAGAAGGCAGTATATTTGCTCCTTATGCTTCCCTCTGTGTATCCCTTGTCTTGTCAGAAACCAGAGCAGCAACCAGCAGGCTGAATCTGGACAACCCCGCCTGCTACATCTATGATAGGAATGTTTTTTTACAGTAAACTGGTAAAGAAACAGAACAGAAATATCAGTATACTGCACCAGCAAAGCCTTCATGATGTAGATGCATATATGCTATGAAAACTGTCCTTTGTACTGATATAGTAAGACCATTCTGCAGGGCCTATGGATGCAGGAGCGAGGACTTGTCCAACTTTATCCCAACTACATAGCTGGTCCAATAAAAAATATCAACCTAAGAAATCCTTGCCTCCTGCATAATTTCTGGACTATCGCAACTACAACATCACTCTTAAACTACCAAGGTGAAAAATCAAGACATAAACCAGAGCAATTGATTAACAATATTTGCATTTATCACTAGGTTACCTGGTTACATTTTGGTTAACTGTTTTCTTTAGGTGTCAGAGATAGCATTGCATAGAGATGAATAGGGTATTTCACAAATCATAGAGCTATTGGTGCAACTTTCCTGCAACACTATGGGCATAGACACACAAACAAGTTACTGTGAGGCACAGGAGAGCAGGGCTTTGCCATATGTTAGCTGTCTAGGATAACTTTCTGTGTACTTGTTCTTACCTTGCAGTAAAGAAAACCAGCACATAGTAATAAAAACTCAACAAGAGAGAAAAAGTGACTTGTAATTAACTTTCATTACTCTGGGTAAAAGCTTTACCTGGGGTAGTTATTTTTCCTGTTCTCCTGTACCTAATTGTAAAAAGTGAGTACATGCCCTGGATGAGTTTACACTCAGTTCACCATTTCAATGTCTTATTCATAACTGTAAGGTCTAGAGACAACTTTTTAAAAATGAAAGATGAGATTTTACAGCATAAAATGCATAAAATCCACAGATGCATCTCGAGCAGGTCCAAGGAGGTGATCCTCCCCCTCTATGCGGCACTGGTCAGGCCGCAGCTGGAGTACTGCGTCCAGTTCTGGGTGCCGCACTTTAAGAGGGATGTGGACAGCATCGAGAGGGTCCAGAGGAGGGCCACTCGTATGATCAAGGGACAGCAGGGTAGGTCCTATGAGGAAAGGTTGCGGGACCTGAACCTGTTCAGCCTTCAAAAGAGAAGGCTGAGGGGGGATCTTGTGGCCTGTTATAAACTGGTTAGGGGGGATCAGCAGGCGCTGGGGGAGTCCCTGTTCCCCCGAGCGCCGCAAGGAGTGACCAGGAACAATGGTCACAAGCTGGCAGAGGGAAGGTTTAAGTTGGACATCAGGAGGCGCTACTTC